ACGAGTGTGGGACTACAACTCCCAGCATGCAGTGCTGTGAGGCGGCCAAGGCGCGGCGCCATGAAGTCATCCTCTACCGATTTCGGTGTGAGAAAGCCAATTTTGTTTTCTGTGTTTAGAGACTTGGTTTGTTAAGGAATGAACTACCCTACTAACCTTACAAAACATAAACGGAGATTTAAAAATACATGGAAGCTGGAACGGAGACAAATTAATTAGAACTGAAAATAAGGCTAAAAGTGCAAACTCAAAAGCATAGAAAATATAGGATATTAGGAAATGTAGAGATCGAGTCCTAACTGTTCTCATTTTACAGTGTGCAAAGATGAGTCAGTTACCCATGTCATATCCGTTATACGCCTGGTTTTTTTCACAACCATATTTTATAAAAATACATCCTTTCTACAAAAGAATTTCTATCTCGTTCCCTGCCCACCCACCCCACACCCGCCCACTTTTTACCTCTTGAAGTATTGTAGATCAAATCCAATCGTAATCTGAGGCGACTACTCAACCACTGAGTTATTCCCTCCAGGCCTTCAGACTTTTCTATAGGGCTTAACTTGTTCAAATGAGGATTGAAATGTTTCTGTAGGTATTTTGTTTGCAGATTCAGTTAACCTACGTTCTTCCTCTATGTTCTGCTCTCAGGGTTTCACTGTGACTAGTTTCAAAGTATGCCACTAAAGTGGGTTTTTAAGTTTGTGTGTGTGTGTGTGTGTGTGATGTGTGCACATGCTCATGAAGGCCAGAAGAGGGCATCAGATCCCCTGTAGCTGGAGTAGCAGGCAATGGTGAGCCATCTGATAATAGGTGCTGAGAAGAGCATCCCCATCCTAAGGAAGAGCAGCAAGTGCTCTTAATTGCTGAGCCACTTCTCTAGCCCTGAGCTAATGTTTACACTGCTACCCAAATTAACTGTAGCATAAAATTCCAATAAAAATTGCTTTGAAAAACCACTAAGAATAAAGAACTGGGGGTGCAGCTCGCTGGTGTAGAGTGACGATTACCTACTAGTGAAAGACCCGAGGAAGGCATGGACCGTCACGCTCTGACTCAGGAAAGGCGCCCCCCCCCCCCAAATCACTCACAAGAAGCGGTCTTGATGCAAAAGCATGAGGTCTTTTATATTCCAGTGCACTGGGGTCCACAACCATACCCCACGTGGGGTAGAGGATTGGGAACCCTGGGTTCAGACAGCTTTTATAGGGTTACAACAAAGCCCGCGCATTACAAACCAATCATCGCGCATTACAAACCAATCATCTCATAGCATCCAGTGTGGACCAATCAATTTGAACTATCCAAGCCTGTGCTTTGCCCAGGAAGTCTGCTTTCAATAGGGCTCCTGGGTAGTGTGGCAGGGCTCATTTCCTGTTCTCATTCACTCACAGGTGCTGTCCGTAAACCACCCTGTCGTAAACAGTCAAGAATGACCTTTTGCCTACTCACTGCTAGGGAGCAGAGTCTAGGGGAAATTAGGCTAAGTTTTTCCATCCTTACACTAGCACATGCAACGCCCCGGATTTGATATCCACTATTAAAAACAGAAAATGGAATGGAATCGTTCTGCGTACTGTCTACCAATGTAGGTATGTAAGACCCTCAGAATGAGGAGTCTCACCATTTTGGTCGGTAACCCCAAGAACTCAATGTCCAGTCCAGTTGCTGCAACACGCAAGAGGCTTTAATGAACAGGAAATGTTTGCGTAAACAGGCTCCTCCAGCATGCAGGCTAGAGAGAAGCACCATCCCCTGGCACAGGTGTTTTTAAAGGCAAAACCCACAAGCTTAGGGAGGGGGTGGGACCCTCTGTCCATTGAGTACGGGACCCTTTGTGGCCAGATGGCCTCGCTATTAGGGTCAACAGACCTTAGGGCCTCAGGGTATACTAATTAATCTTGTCTGGGCAAACAAGAGGTACAGTTATCTCGTTGTTTCTTAAGGACCCAGTCACCACCTGCTGACTCACAAGAAAGGAGGGGCAGTGTGAATTCTTGGTATCTTGTATCTCAGGGCCTTGTGAGGGGAAGTTAGCAAAGTCCAAGGAACAGATATTGGTCTGGGTTAGCTTTCCAGGTTAGTCTGTCCTTCATTTCAAGTGGGGGGTTTCTTTAACTTTACTTTTTTTGTCTTTCAGGTATACTGTCATGGTCTCAGAGAGTCCAGAAAGCCAGTTTAGCATTTGCTATTTCTCTTATTCACATACTAACCAGGCCAGTGTCTTCTTAGATTCTGAGCCAGAATCACCATAAGCAATGTTTGCCATTCCTGTGGACTGTGTTATCATTAACCATTGAGAACCTATTATATACCAAGACTGCTGGGCACAGATAACTCAGTGAAACAAGAACAATGGTGGAAGTCCTAAAAATGATTTTCCACTTCTGTTCTCCAGGTTCTGATGTCCTCCCTTGGTGGCTATTTTATCCATGACCATGCCATTTGAGAAGTTCCTCCATTGAGGTTACATGGTGTCAATTTCCTTAAAACCACAGTGGTTAGCATTATGGAACTAAGGTCATTGTTTCCCTAGATTCTTACCACATCCCCTAGACCCTGTAAATAGCTGATCATACAGGATATTTCTTAATCATCTGACATTTTTAACTACTCACTTGGTAGTCCTACCAAAAGCCAGTTTAAGGATAAAGAAAGGAAACCTTTCAATACTCCCCCTCCACCTCCTCCTGCCCACTTCCTGCTCTGTAACACTCACAGATTATAAGCAGACAGGGGGCTCTGACCTAACAGCACCCCTTCTGGGGTTTTCCTCCCAAGCAAAGGTGTTATACTGTCTGAAGTCCCTCATGACCTTGTCTATCGCCCCTTCGCACTCATCTTTCAGCGGACACCCAGGTATCGTGGTTTAATAAGAATCAAGATAAACAAATAGGCCAAATAGGTGTTTATTCAGGGAGAAATAACTTACAACCTAGACAAATGAACACCAGCAAGAATCATGGGATGCTCTCCTCTCCCAATCCCACCAGTAAGAGAGCACATTCCAGGCTCCTCCTCAGACCTAGTTCCACAGGTCACTTCTTCCCCTGGCTCCACCAATGGGTGTGGTTAGTGCCACAGAAGCAGACAAAGTGAGTATCTCACTATACCTAGGGATTTCAACTTTAACCATAGCTATCAGCACTTCCATTTTTGAATTCTACAAATGAGATTGTTACATGGCCAATGAACTATGCCTTAAGTTCAACCCTTGTCACAACTAGTCAGGATCCCTTTGATCAATGTTTTATCTCCACCAACACTCCCTTCTCCATCTGCAAGCCAGCACAATGTATCTTTAATGGGTCTTTAATGACCCAGCCTGCCTCTATCTTAGGCTTAAAAGCCAAAGCCATCTTACAGTAAAAATAAACTAGGTTCATTCCTGATTATGATTAAACCTCTGTTTCTGAAAGATTGAACTATATCCTACCTGTAACCTTAACTAAAATGGTTCTGTACTGCCTGTTCCAGGAAACAGCAACCATGCCTTTGTGGCAAAAAAGTATAATTATTTTTGCAACCCTGCCTTTGTTTCAAAAGGTTATTTTGACCACCTATGACTACCTTGTGACTACCTGTTGTTATGACTACCTTGTTATGCCCACCTTGCAATCATGTCTTTCTTTCAGGAGATGGTTAGGACTAACTTGTTATGCTTATGTTCTGTCCCTGTAACTCTAATGAGTTTGCCCACCAAATTCTCCATTTGGAAGCCTTCTACCCTTGAGCTGTAATAAAATCCTTGTCTTCCTTATGTCCAGTGCTAACTTCTCAATCCCTGCCTTACCTGGAGACAGCCTGTGTACACAAATAAAAAAGCTTTCTTTAATTAATTTGGTCATGATGACTTGAGTAGGTGGCCTTTCTCCTCCCATCTTTGGGATTAACATCTTTCAAAACAGTTTCTTCGGAGATAGACTTCAATGGATAGGAAAAATACACCAATCCTCACTTTCCATAATACTTAACTTTACTTGTCGATCAAATAGCTCCAACGCCTCCAAACCACGCATAGCTATTGGATGTATTCCTCTCTTGATTGTCACACTTGACTCCCTTCAAAAGGATTGTGTCTTTCTGTTTAATCAATAAACTCAATAACTCTGCTGTACTCCTCCCTGAAGTCTTTTCAGTGACTGCTTCAACGTCAGAGGTGTACACATTGCTAGTACCACTGAGTTGTGTTTCCTGCTTATAGTGACAATAGAAAAGAAAGATTCAACTGCTGCCTTCAACAAGTAAACAAACAATATTACATGATAATTGTTTGTCTAAAGCAATAATGCTGTCATATGTATTTGGTTTTTAATTGCAGGAACACACACGTCGCTGTTTATTTCTGTCCATTTTTCCCTTTGAAAATAAGGAAAATTATTTTGTTCTGTTTTTAAAATTAGATGTAATGTTTGGTTAATTATTTGAGAGTCTCCTACATACTGTGCTGGTTGGCTTTTGTCAGCGTGATACAAACTTGAGTCACCTGGAAGAGGAAACTTCCAATTGAGGAATCGCGTCTATCAGATGGACCCGTGAGCAAGTCTGCAGAACATTTCCTGGATTAACGATTGAGGAGGGCACAGCTCATTGTGGGTGGTGCCAGCCCTGGGCAGGTAGTCCTGAGAAGTCATGGGGGAGCAGGCCAGTAAGCAGCATTCCTCCATGGTTTCTGCTTCAGTTCCTGAGTTCAACTACTAAGAGCTTGCGGCCAGTCGGTGCTATATGGGTCCATATGGGGGCGGAGGGGGTGGGGGTCATCTATACTTTTGTCTTTTATCGTGCCAACTCGGATTTTTCAAGGTGCAGTTTTGTACTGAAAATTGGGCTTATGAGTTCAGCAGCTAACTTTGAGGACCTCCTGGGAGACTGCCTCATGCCCCATGCGTACGCGCACTCACTCTCTCCCACCCTGCGCGTGCACAAGCCGCCTGGGACCCCGGAACGTGCTAACCCCGGCGGCCCTGCAGAGGCGGTTGCTCTGCGGTGAAATTGGCGCCATGTCGGCCTGGGAAGTGGCGCTGCTACTGTGGTGCCTGAGCTGCTGCGCCTCGGCAGTGTGGAGGTAGAAAGACGCATCCCGGGCCACTGGCCTTGCAGACCCCCGCCTGGTCCCCAGCTCCCCAGTAGGGGTGACCCGAGCTCCTCCTGGGAGTCTTTACAGACAGGGTGCCATCAGCCCTCTGCAACACCGGGTTCTGCAGAAGGGCGGTGGTACCCCCTCACGTTGCTGCCTTAGATCATTAAAAAAAAGTTACATATATGTATGTATGTATATGTGTGTATATGATACACACTTACCTATGTAAGGCCATTTACATGAAAGCGTATGATATACTTTGGGCATATCTGCCCCATACTTTTTTTTTTTTTTTTTTTTTTTTTTTCCTGCTGGGGATTTGCCCAGCTCCACCCTCGACCCCGCCCCCATGGGTCCCTAGGTACTCCCTGGTGCTGTATCTTGTTCCTCCCCCAAAGTAGAACCAGAGATGACTAGGGAGGAACATTTCACTTCCATCGTTTTTAAGAAATCGAAGCAGAGTGGATCTAGAGAGCGTATTTACTAAAACAGAAATGCTGTATAAACGAAGAGATTTATTCCCAAGTATTGATTTTGAGACTGAAGATATTATAAAGTCTTGAGAGATCCTTAATGCGGGTTTGGCTGTGTTTGTTGTTCAGTATTCAGTAATCACTAGCTATAAAGGAATATCAAAGTATTTTAAGTTTCAATACGGGTTAAAATGCATCTTTAAAGAAAAATCATATTATTCGAATAGGCTATATAAAAATAAGTATCACCCCCCCTCCATTAACATTTAACATGACCAACAAGAAATTAAACAATTGTAAAGTTTTCTTTACAATGAGGAAGGGGGTTCTCGTATTTGTCATGTGACATGTGAAGGAACAAAAGAATGGGCTTAGAATGGCATGTTGGTGCAGTGAGCCCCAGCACACAGAGGGCCAAAAATTCAAAGCAAACATAGGCTAAATAGTTTTAAAAATGAATAAAAATCGAATACAGGGGCTGGAAAGATGGTTCTGTGGTTACAAGCACCAGCTGCTCTTCCAGAGGACCCTGGTTCGATTTCCAGCCCACTGTCCCTAACAACTGAGTACCAGAGGATTTGGCGCGTCCTCTTCTGTCCTCCTCGGACATTGCATGTTATGGTGTATAGACATAGGCAGGCAACACACAGTACACATTTTTAAAAATCTTAATTGCCAGGCGTTGGTGGCCAGCACTCGGGAGGCAGAGGCAGTCGGATCTCTGTGAGTTCAAGTTCAGCCTGGTCTATAAGAGCTAGTTCCAGGACAGGCTCCAAAGCAATACAGAGAAACCCTGTCTCGAAAAACAAAACAAAACAAAAAAATCTTACTTAAGGTTAAATATAAAAAAGGGTAACCATTGGGACAAATGAGTGAGAAAGAGCAACAGCATTGTGTTCTGATAACTTTATAAGCCTTCTTTTCACAGTAAGATAACACATTTTGTGGGTTAAATGCAGTCTTACATTTAGAACTCTCAGCACAAGCTAACAATAAATCACAGATGAGCGTTCGAGAGCATTAAGGATGGTCTGTGAATGCAGGCAATTTGTGAGCTCTGTTGAATTTTTGTTTTGTTTGTTTTGTTTTTTCTTGGACACAAAGAAGCCACTAATGGTATCTAAGAGACCAGATAGCAAATAGGTGTTTCCTAGCAATAAAATTTTTCTGTACTTACTGAGAGAGGACAGCATTTTGGGCATGGTTATATGGTGATAAAAATGTATTTACTGAAAGGTACAATTGGACTCCCAGGCTACAGTAAGTCACCCCTGATCTTATCCATGATTAAAGGAGTGATAACATCCAATTCCATGTTTGTGGGGGAAAAAATGTTATTTTTTTTCCTCAGGGCTACCACAGAACATCAGAATTGGACTTTTTAATAATATTCTCTCTCTCTCTCTCTCTCTCTCTCTCTCTCTCTCTCTCTCTCTGTGTGTGTGTGTGTGTGTGTGTGTGTGTGTGTGTGTGTGTGTGTGTGTGTGTTAGTAGCTGAAGCAGAGTGATTTGGGAAAGAGTATTGGGTAAAATAGGAATACCATATAAATGTAAGGAAATATAATTTCCATATAAAGGATTGATTTAGAGAATGAAACATTTGTGTTATTGTGCTTAAGTCATTGTCCATGTTTACTTAATTTGCTTAGTTAACTATTTCTTTAGAGTCAGATCTTGCTGTGTAGCCCTGGATGGGGTGAAAAATCACTGTGTAGACCAGGCTGATCTCAGACTTAGAGACCCATCTGCCCCTGCCTCCAACGTCCTGGGATTAAAAACAAGTGCCACCATGCCCAACCACTGTCTACTTTTATTTTGATACAGATTTTCTCATTGACCCAGAACTTAGCAAGTGGTTAGGTTAGCTACCCAGTGACCTCTAACATATGCCCTCTAATGTGGTTAGAAGCAGGCACCACTGTGCCTGGGTTTTGACTGTGTGCATTCTCCTCCTGCTTGCAAGGCAAGTGCTTAACTAGCTGAACTATGTGCCCAGCCATAATATTATTTCAAAGGATGAATTTTTGGGACTAGGGGTATAACTTGATGCTAGACATGCATGAGGCCCTTAGGTTCAAAAGGCACTGGAAAAAGAAAATAAGTGATACATTTCCTGAAATTTAACAAAATAAATTTTAAACTGTTTCATTGTTAGCTATTTTGGCAGATGTCTAGTATGGATGAAATTCTTCCCTGCCCCAAGTTCGATGGGGGATGTCCTTCTGTATATATGTTTCTCTTATTGGTTGATGAATAAAGCACTGTTTGGCCAAAAGAGGCAGAAAGATAGGTGAAACTAGGAGAAGAAGAGAATTCTGGGAAAGGTAGGCAGAGAGGGAGGCCGAGGAGAGAGACGCTATGTAGTCAAGGAAATAGTAAGAGGTCCAGACACTTCTCCAGTAAGATAACACCACATGGAAATACTTAGATTAATAAAAGTGGGTTAATAATTAAGAGAGAGCTAGCCAATAAGAAGCCCAAGTCATCAGCCAACAGTTTTATAATTAATATAATGTCTCTGTGTGTTCATTTGGGGCAGAAGCTGTAGAACCTGGGCAGGTCAAGAAACTCCTGCAATACAAGTTATTTCTTCCATTAACATTTTGTTTGTTTACCAAGTTTGTTAAATAAAATTCATGGGAGGCTCTTGTTTTGGAGTGAGTATCTGAGCTGGGCCAAACGGAATGAAAAGAAACGGAAATGCTCATAACATCCCCATCTGACCAGACCAAACCCAAGTGTTTACTGAGCTCAGAAATCAGGAGGGAGAGGAAGAGCCAAACAAGTCAGCGTGAGTTAGAATGACACAGCCTTCCCTCTGCTGTGTCATTAGAAAAAATAACTGGAGTTGACCTGACGCGGACTGTCTGTTGTTTTCCATCGATTTCCCTGTTCCCGTCTTAGAGGTTCCAAACGACCAATCCACATTTTATTCTTAGTACCTCCCGCACGGGCTCTTCTGTGAGGCCAACCCACTATACTCAGCTTATCAGAACATTTCTGCTATTTTATGAAATGGAACGTTGCATTCTGGGACTGCATTTAAATCTTGCTGAAATATTCCAGTTGCTATAATTTTGTCCTTTGGTGAGTTCTTAATTCCAGTGGAGATGGGTATTTTCCAAAGTGATACTGGCCATTCAGTTTCTTTTTTCATGTGATCTAGATCCATTTTTAAAAAATTTTTTGAGATTGTATGCATATGGGTGTTTTGCCTGCGTGTATTACTGTGTACCACATGTGTGCAGTTCCGAAGGAGACCAAAAGAGGGCGCGGGATACCCGTGAGGCACAGTGTAGGTGCTAAGAATCTCATCCCATCCCTTCAGAACAGTCAGTGCTTTTGACCCTTGAGCCATCTCTCCAGTTTCTAGATACATTTTTAGAGCAACACCACTTATTAAACAGTCCCTATTTCTCTTAATCGATTGGACATATAATGTCTGTCCCACACAGATCTTCAGTGTGGACTTGGGTCTGTTTCTGGGTTTACTGTCCTATTCTGTTCCATTGGTGAGTATGCCTATTGCCTCATCCTACATTCTAGTGCTATAATGTCATGAACTCGGATCTCTCCCAGGAAGGTCCCCCATTCTATGGCCAGAAGTCTTAGTTACCCAGGGACCTGGACACAGTCACATAAATCTGAAAATAGGTTATCAGCTATTATATGAAAAATTCTTTGGAACTTGCAATGATTCAAGATGGTATCTTTAGGAATATTAAGTTTTCCTATTAAATCAGCATCCTGCATCCATTTATATATTCTGCATAAATGGGATCTATGTTTTTCTGTCCCTCTGTATTTGTTATTCTGCAGCAGCTGGGACAGAAAGCCCTACAAAACAACTTAAGGGAGTAAGATGTTATTTCCTCACAGTATGAGGGTTCTGTTCCATCATGGCAGGAAGCACATGGCAGCAACAGCTGGTCACTCTGTGGCCACGGCCAGAAAGCAGAGGAGATGGACGCTGGTGGTCACCCCTCTTCTCTTTTTTTATTGTTTAGTAAGGATGCCCCAACCCTCCTCCATAAAACTGTTCCATAAAACTCCATATTAATGTGGGGGCTTACCACCTGAATTAACCTATCTAGAAACTTCCTCACGTCACCCCCCAAAAGCTTGTCTACTAGGTGATTCTAGATTCTGTCAAGTTGACAAGATTAAACATCATAAAACCCCTCTTTAAGGAGTGGGTGCAGGGCCACATGCTAAGCTCGCATTCTACAGCTGCTCTTTTCAATCTGACAATTTCACTTGATCTTTCTTATTAGATTTCCTAGGACCTCCAAGTTTCTCTTACTCAAGATTTCTCTTAGAATGGCAACCCTTGACTGCCCACTGAGCAACTGTCTGCACTGAGTGTTTCTCTGTATAGTTTTAGAACCGATCCTGAAATTCACTTTACTAGGTGGTGATGGTGCATGCCTATTATCTCAGCACTCAGGAGGCAGAGGCTGTAGATCAGGCTAGCTTCAAACTAGCCTCAGAGATCTGACTGCCTCTGCCTCC